CCCAACTAATTCTGTCCTTTCCCCGCTCAGAGACCCAGGTCGTCGCATGCATCTCTGCTTGTCTAGCGGACATCCCTCAGTGGATGTCTGCTCACCACCTCAAGCTCAACCTTGACAAGACTGAACTGCTTTTCCTTCCGGGAAAAAGATTGTCCCACTCTTGACCTAACAATTAACATCGGTACCTCTGTTGTTTCCCCGACTCAGACTGCAAGGAATCTGGGTGTGACCCTAGATAACAACCTGTCCTTCACTACAAACATTGCTGCTACAACCCGCTGCGGCTCGTCTGGTCTTCAACCTTCCTACATTTTCCCACACCACACCGCTCCTCCGCTCCCTTCACTGGCTTCCAGTAACTGCTAGAATCCACTTCAAGACAATGGTACTTGCGTACCATGCTGCGAATGGATCTGGCCCTTCCTACATCCAGGACATGGTTAAACCATACACCCCAGCACGTGAACTCCGCTCTGCATCAGCCAAACGGCTTGCTGCACCCGCACTGCGAGGGGGACCCAAGTTCCCATCAGTAAAAACACGTTGGTTTGTTATCCTGGCTCAAAAATGGTGGAATGAGCTCCCCATTGACATCAGGACAGCAGAAAGCCTACACATCTTCCGGCGCAGACTGAAAACTAATCACTTTCGACTCCACTTCGAGCGATAGAATTACTAACAAAGCACTTATATACTAAAAAAGAACTGGCTTATCTAAAGCCTGTTCAGTAGCACTTGAAATGTGTTGGCTCTATGAAACCTGATGTACTTATATGATTCTGTTTTCTTCAAGTTTGTGTCTTCTTGGTCGATGCACTTATTGTAAGTAGCTTTGGATAAAAGTGTCAGCTAAATGCAATGCAATGTAAAAACAATTTTATCTTCCGCACTATTGGTAATCATATGCATGTCCTATTATTCGTAAACCTTGTGTGCACTGAGTAATGATTCCGGACAGAGTCTGATTCATGCTCTTGATTGATGCTCCAAAATGCAGACGTCACTTGACTGAAATACTCATAATTTCTTGGAAAACATGATCCATCATTCAAATTCATTTTTGTTGTTATCACACATACAGTTTCAGTCAACTTTACTGTCAATTCCTCTATTTGTGTTATACAGACAGAGGGATCAAAATTATGTTTCTCGTAATCCCTATATATAAAAATAAATATATACACATGTATATATACATAGATACACACCTAACAACCAGTTATACATGTATGCGTATATATATATATATATATATATATAAATACATATATATATATATATATATATATATATGCGTATATATATATAAATACATATATATATATATGCGTATATATATATAAATACATATATATATATATATATATATACATACATACATACATCGACACAAATATACATATACATACAATTGGAGCTAGAAAAAAAATAGACAGTAAATATACAAAAAATAACAGTCAAAGGTTTGAGTCTAATCTAGTGGGCTAGACTGCTAAACCGATTAATTGAAACATATTATAAGATATAGATGTGGATATAGATATGATGTGACGATTAATTTGTATTATTATTCAAACAAAAGCTACTAGACCTGTAGGAAAGCTAGTGATGTTGTTTTCAAGGTACCGGTAACTAAATTAGATAACTGATTATATATTTGTGACTTTTCAATGCATCTGACAAGCCACATATTTTCTTAATCGAGTTTGAATCCGTCCAGGGGCCATTTGCCTCATGTCATCCCCTCTGTCTCCCCATTTCAACTCTGTCTACAATAAAGGTTGACCCAAAAAATCTTTAAAAGGACAAAACTACAACATGGTTTTATTTAAATTCATGTTGACATTAAGATTTATGTACTCTACTGTCAAAACTTCCTGGCTTCACAGTGTGCACAGGAATGTCGTTTTTGAGGGTGGAGTAAATGTTAGATTAACACTCTCACCATGCAGGTACCTGAGCCAAGTCATGAGGCTGAACTTCACCAGAGAGTCCCACCTGCGCCGCTACAACCGCCTGCTCAGCTACAACCTGCTGCAGGAGATGGATCTGCTCAAGTAGGCTCACACACACACACACACGCACACGCACACGCGCACACATGCAGGGAAAGTTTCCACACATGGTGTGATGTAACCGAGTCACAGCATGTGTAGGTTCTCTGACATTGTTTACTACTGCAAATCTCAGATTAACCTGAGCAAAACATACACTATGACAACACAGTTTAGACTTGTTGTTACAAGGAGTACATAACAAAATGAAAACTTAAATAAATTAAGTAGCTGCATGAACATCCAAAAATCAGGAAAAGAGAAGAAAGAAATCCAACCGATTGACAATAAATTATATTATATAGCTAACAGATAATGGACACAACAGGAATACTCATACATACATTAGTTGTCACATCCTACCACCTGGCCATTATACATTTTTTGTGTTGTATAACCAACCAATTTTTCCCAACTTTTATCAAAGATATGAACCTGGTTTCTGATTCTCATGATTATTTTTTACCCTTCCATAAGATTCTTCCATTGTGAGTTAATGAAGTTATTATCTTTTAACCAATTCCTTGTAATTTGTTTAATAATTGCTATTCTTATCACTAGGAATACGTTTTAATATAACGATACTAACACGTCCCTCTACTAATATAATTAGTGGATTCTTATTTAGAGAAATACCAAAAACAGTTGACATTACTCTTATTTTCCAGAAGCCACTTAAAACTTTACAAGACCAAAATATATGACTGTGGTTTGCCTTTTCATCACCACATTCTCTCCAGCATTTTGAAGTGACATTTTCTCTATACTGACTTTGAATTTGGTGTTTGTTAAAGTAACAATTAAGTATCTTCCATGTGTATTCTTTCCAGCTGTTGAGTTGTTTAATGAATGTTTTGGGACATAAGTTCCCCCGAGAAGAACATTTCATCTAACAATGAGACTCATGTCACAGTGATGGATTTTATTTATAGTGAAAAACTGAACAATTACCAGCAATCTTACCATTTGGAAAAGAACAGAACAGCAGAACCAAGGACAAACCCTATTAACGTGTAACAGTTCTGGGTAAGATTTGAATCATGGAACACTTGCCGGAGGTTTGGCGTCTGGTCCATGTTAACCAAATTGCCAATAAAAGGGGTCCTTCACTTTGATTTCCATCTGCTTTTTGTATTGGAATTTGTTTTGGGTTGTACCAACGTCCTCTCGTGATGGGGTATTTTCCCAAATTTGGCACAAATCTCTTCTTGGACTGATGTTGAAGTGACTGACTTCACAAGGTTCAAGCCACATTCAAGAATTCTGACACCAAACATGACATTTTCAAAGGTATAATAGGGTAAAATAATGAAGTGATAATATTTTGGATAGACTTATGTTTATCTAAAAGTTTAAAAAAATATTTAAACTGCTCGGTTGGGTTATACAACCTTGGGGCAATAGTTTCAGTTTCACCTATGTGCAAATGCTTTAATTAATTGAAAAACTGATATGGAACTTCTTTGGTAATATCCAGGATATTTTGTAGCTTCTTTAATGATGTGTTGGGATAATTGCGATCTTTGCCTCTGACTTCCTAACCTCTTTGTGTACGTCCAGGTCTCTGCTGGAGTCCACACACTCTCCTGTCGTGTTCTGCCACAACGACTGTCAAGAAGGTAAAACACACAGACGCCAAGGGGCCCTATCTGCTTTACACATTTAAAATTTGTCATCAAATATTAACATTTTATTGCTGCTTTCAGGAAACGTCCTGCTGCTAAATGGCCGCCAGAGCTCAGACAAACAGAAGCTAATGCTTATTGATTTTGAGTACAGCAGCTACAACTACAGGTAAGATAGCAGCTACTGGAACACAGATTTCTATAAAAAGGTCCTACTTTCAAGTGTTGTCTGTTTATCCAAAGCCTGATATCAAGTATTCCTCTCTGCCATTGAGCTCCGTTTTTGTCCGAAAGTGTGGGAACTGAATCCATTTTATTCAGTCCCAAATACAGTTAGTTTTAGTCCTTTTTCTTGGAATGCATTTAATCTAAAATAAATAACTTTTAAGAAAACATCAAGGTTGTCTTAATCAATGTATCTGACTTTTAAACTTAATTGTTCTTTTGTTGGCTGAACACACAGACCTCCCAGTGACATTCTGTATCACTAAGATTTATTTTATATGTGAGCCAATGCTTGAATCTTGCAATTGTCAAAACCAGCCATGTGACATAATGTTTGTTTGGCAGTTTGGAAGCTTGGTAACGGGTGTTGCAGGTTCAAGTCCCTGAACACACCCGCTAAGCCTGTACTGGTAGTTGGAAAGGTGCCATTTGGCATATTTTCTTAGATCTCACGCCAGAGTGATCGATGCTGTTTCCCATACAATCAGGGCTGCCCCTGGCCAACTTGTGGCCCGACGCAAAGTTATGTGATGAGGCCCTCTGTGTCGCGAGCGTCGACAGAATTGCGGCGCATTTGCGCATAAGCTGAAGTGCGCCGCATTTGTGATTCAGATGAGGCTCCCTCCGCAGTCTGCGTGATCTGCGTGCAGGGGGGGGGGCGGCCCTGCATACAATGGCTCCTTCTTTAATTCACATACCAAAACACAACCACTCTCACACAAAGGGTCAGAGTTTACATTTGACTCTGTTAAGTGTGATTATTAAACCATGATTATATTCAAATCCTCCATTTGCTTCTACCATGTGTACTAGGATGAAAATGTATTTAAGAAGAAGTACCGGTATTTGAGAGTAAGTGTTTTTGCACACTTTGTCAATGAAATACATCTATAAATAATATACATTTAAAAGGCTCAAAGGCTAGAATCCCTCTGTTCCCTCCAGAGGGAGTTACCCTCCCCCCTGCCTGTAACGCCTCCATTGGACTTCTTTGTTTACTTCAGTAACATAGTGACATCACTATATAATATTCGCGTTTCTATCGTCTAGCACTCCAACACAATGTATGTGAAAGGCTAAGGGGCGGGACATCTCTAAGGGTCGGCCAGCTAACCAATCAGAGCAGACTGGGCTCTGGTTTCAGACAGAGGGTGAAAAGAGGTGCTGCAGCATGAGAAAAATAAAGGGCTTTTTGAACATTAAAGCATGGAGTAGAGCGCAATATGTTCTCATCAAATGTATTAACCACCGCAGCCTGAGGCACTGCTAATGAATTCTCCTTCCACTGCTGCGTCACTTCTTTTCATCCTCATGCCAGATCTTTGCCTCCCGACTAACCTTGGCTTTGCAATCGAGAGATATGTGCAAGGAGTGTGATAGTCGCAGAATGTGGAAGAGGCAGTGAGAGACAAATTGAGATAGAGTAACCCAGATGTTAAGGTAGAAAGGAAGCATAATCTGAAGGAAAACAAAAGGGGAAGAATGCAGCCTCACTTTGTATCTGTCTTCCATCATGGCCACCTCCCTCTGTTATATTATTCACTGCAGCTGTTATGTAATAGGAATTTGGCAGGGCAATGAGGACACATAGGAGGCAAGGGAAGGCTGTCAGTGGAAAAAATGGTGATGATAGTGCTCTGGATTTCCTCTACAGTCTGGTACAAAGGACTAGGTTAGGATAAAATAGAATAATGGGACTGTAGATTTTTCAACACCTTTGTTTAACTGCGGTTGAGTCTGGTTATGTGATTTTTTAAATCAGTCATTTGATGGGAAACAGCGCAGAACGCGCTGGCCTTGACTTACGGTTGATCTCAGACAAAAGTCTCTCTCTCTCCCCCCCACACTGAGGCAGAAACACCCCGACCCCCCTGCAGCTCCCTCAGCGTGGCCCCTTTAAGTCTCCTCATATGTTGCGGCTAACACGTGATTCTCTTTGCACAAGTGACCCACCAAGCACGTGTACCATATAGCTGCAGGAAGAACACGCCCACAAATAGAAACACTTACTGTGGAATTTTTTCTCTTTGTCTCACATGAGCTAGAAACAGAAGGGGATGAGCCCAGTTTATTGACTGCTGATAACTGTGTGGGAATCAACATGCTAAAGTGGTGCTTTAGAGCATTAACACACACACCTACGGCCCATTTGTTCCAGTCTAAATCACAGATCAAGTTTCATTCTCAAATAGGTGCTTACATTGTAAAATAAACAGCCTTTTAATTGAGTATGGATTTGTCATGTCTGCTGCTGTGTGATTCCCATCAGACACTAGCAATGGGCTGTATGGTACAAGGTCCGACACTCTCGTCTAGACCTGAGGGTTTCAAAGTCTAACGCCTCCCCTTCTTCATCTAGATAACTACAGCTCCTCAATACTCCCCACCTCATCTTGTACTAATACAGTTCCTATAGAGTGGTGCAGTGATGGCCTATTTTTGTAGACTGACCCTGAAACAACACATTTTTAGGTTATAAGCAACATATTTATTCTATGATTCTAATTACATATATACATACATACGTCATTAATCAAACATTTGATTGGATTACACATGGCACTAGGAAAAAAGTACAATTTTGTTCTTCTCAATTATTGAACAGAAGTATTCATGAATGTAAATACATCATCAGCATAACTGTTTCTCTCCATGTGTTAACCTTGCAGGGGATTTGATATTGGCAATCATTTCTGTGAATGGATGTACGACTACAACTGTGAGGAGTTTCCTTTCTTCAAAGTCAATGCTCAGGCCTACCCTTCAAAGGCCCAGCAGGTGTGTATGATGTGTTTTCACAACAATGTCTTATTCATTTGGCTTATTGTCTACTGTTGACTGATGGCGACTCTTTACCTCTCTGTTCAGCTGATCTTCATTGAAAGCTACCTGTGTGAGTCTGACCAAGGTTTTGACAACCTGAGTGAAGAGGACCAAATGAGGCTGATGGAGGATCTGTATGTGGAGGTCAACAGGTGAGCTCTCTTGCATGACAGTGGGAACTGACAAGAGATGACAGTAAAATACATTACAATAAAGACCGTGTGTTTTTAAATAGGTTCTCCCTGGCGTCCCACTTTTTCTGGGGTTTGTGGTCCATCATCCAGGCCCGGCTATCCACCATCAAGTTTGGATACCTGGTGAGTAAACATTGTTTGTGTGTTTTTCTACTTTAAATGGTGATGTATATAGTAAACAAGTATATACTTCCCTAAGTAAGGTGTGTTGGTTCAGGAAGATATACACAGTCCTGGAGGGCGAGGTAGTGTCAATATTTACTGTAAAGAACAGGTCAGGTCAGGTCAACCTGTCACAGACACAGAGAAAGGTAGACTTTGTCACAACTATTAGGTTGACCCAATCCTGTGAAATAATACATATAATGTAATTACGTAGGGATCCCTCTCCAAGAATGTGCAATAGATGTTGTGTGTACAGAATAACCCTGTTAACAAAATTAAAACACAGACAATCTATGTGACAAAAATGACAATGTGAATAAATATGATGCAAATTGGATCCTGGAGCACTTTAATCATCTTCCAGGTGTAAAAAACAATAGTAGAAATAATAATACCAAAACGCAAGTAGTAATAAAACAATATTAATACCACTCCTATAACTCTTAGAATATGAAAAATAGAAGTAGCAGAGGGCAGTTAACAATATGCATCCATGGGACATGCATGTAAAGATATATAGGACTTAGGACTACTTATTGAGAAAAGCCCCAGCTCTAACAAGCTTTATCTAAGAAAAAAGACTAAAGCTTACGGTACTCTTAAATGTAGAGAGGGTGTCTGCATCTCAAACACAAACTGGAAGCTGGATCCACACAACAGGAGCTAGATAGCTGAAGGCTTTGGCTCCAGCTTCTGGAGACCCTAAGAACTACTAATAACCTGCATTATGTGTGCACAGTGCTCTAGTCAGGCAGTAGCGTACTATGAGCTCTAACGTTCTGATGATGCCTCACCATTAAAAGCTTTGTTAATTCCATTCTTTATTTCACACAGAGCACCTGCAGAAAAACAAGTTTTAAGCAAATTATTGGGACAGCTTAATAACAAGGAATTACAATAATAGCTGGCACAATAACTACGTTTCTTCTGTGTTCAACAACATACAATTGAAAGTTTATTGAGTGTTTCCTGATGACTTTTTCCCCGAATCATCAATATTTAAGGTGAATACAATAGATCCGAGTACAGTACCTTGCGAGACCCCATTCATTACTTAGAGCAGCGGTTCCCAACCTTTTTTGCGCCACGGACCGGTTTCATGTAAGAAAATATTTTCGGCTCATTTCTAAATAAACGTGGATTTGTGTAAAAAAATAGTTTTTCGGGGTTCGGGTGTTTATTTTTATTTTAAATAAACAAAGTCTTGGCTTTCAGAATATTAAACTTGTTTCGGCAAATTCAGATGATAATTACAACTTTGAAGCTTGTAGCGGCATAATTACATGCGGAGAACGGAGTAACTTAACGTCACAGCAGGCATAACAACAGCCGGTGTTTCTTGTGGGTGTTTTCCCCAGGAAACAAACACACACAAACGCAAACATATACACACACACACACGGACCAGACCGGTGGTTGGGGACCACTGACTTAGAGGATTCATCCTTAACATGTTCAAACTCGCTCCGAATATTAAGCCCTAAACCACTTTAGCGTTGTTCCTTGTATGCAAATAAGTGTAAATAAATGTGAAACATTGTAGCACATGTGAAAACTTCCCCTTACCAATGTTTTTTGTTTAGTTATATGCACATATAGATGTGTCACATTAAAACTTAAAGTCCTTCAATTACTCAAAGGCCAAAATAAGTGCATCACTCAATGCCTAGGCTTTAATTGTGAAATATCCCAAGGAAATGTTTAATTGATGATAATTTAACAGAAGAAGTTGTCCAATAAGTAGTATTTTAGTAATTAGTAAAAACATTATTTCACCTTTTCTTTATTCTTTTAAAGAAAGAAACAGAACTGAATGGAGAGTATTATAGGACTCTAAACTGATTTCGGTAATGTTGTATTATTCTGAATCTTTCTTTTAGTTATAAGATTCCAAGTAAATGCAGTTGTGTGCAGATATGAATAACATCATCGATATTTGACTGTGTTGCAGGATTATGCCCTGGCCAGATTTGATGCCTACTTCCAGCAGAAGAAGATATGGGCTAACGGAGCAAAATAAATTGATGGATTGACATCCCATTCAGCCAAACAGCAGATGGAGCACATGCAGGCTGAAGGAGGCTTCACCATCCGCGCTTCACTTATATTCCATGCCTCGACAGAGTTGCTGGCTGGCTGACTGGCCGCTGTTGGTGTTGTATTGACCAAAGCCAAAACTTGATCACGTGGCTAAGTGCTTAAGGTACGCCCTAAAATCTATTGCAGCTCAAAGTTTACACTGTGTAACTCCCTGAGAGCCAAAAAAAAACACTGACTACTTACCTTCATCCCTTGTCAGAACTGCTGTCTGCTTCTGCCTTTTTTCAAACCATTTTACTAACACAAGGGTTTTGAGCAGGAGAGAGGTGAGAACAGCTAGATTTGAAATATTAACATTGCATCAATGTAAATGTATTGATCATTCCCTTATGGAAATGTTCTGCTGGGAATAACCAAAACGTGAACTTTGCTTGGTAGATTCCTGCTTACTATTGCCGCCAGTTGCCAACTATGTATATTATATATATAGACCCCCAATGTGCCAGTAATCTGGCCTTGTCTGTTACTGATGGTGAAATCATGACTTGATTTACAGGTCAGGTAGAATCTACACTTATAGGTATTACACTTGCTGTTTATTTTATTTTATTTGTTTAAATGGTTGCATAATAAATGTTATTCAGGCCAGGGCAAATATCGGAATAGTGTACATTTTCAAGTATGTGAATATTTGAGTTCCCTCTTCTGGGTAGCTTCTTAACTCCACCAAATCAAAAAATTCAAAAACATGAATTTCAGGTATTTCCAATAAATTAGATCTGTTTATCTTTGGATTCCTAAAGAGTTCAAATGTATGGTATTTTTATAAATCACTGTGAAGTAGATTCATATCTTCATGTAGTTTACACATTAACATTTGCATTGTCTGCTTTGGCGAAGACATTCCAGCCATGCTTTATAAGCTTTGGAAAGTGTTGCTTAACACTAGGGAGCTAACTGACCATATATTTGTTTTTTTACTTTTATATATTATCCATGATTTGAAGAAAACATCACACAGTTCACATATGAATGGTATCTTTTGTGTTAATTGATTCTTTAGGGATGTCATGGGTCATTGTACCCAGACGTACCCATCCAGAATAATGACACAAACGCTGACCAGCTTGATTCTACCTCACCGCACCGAGTCATTATTTGTGCTCCAACTATGCTATTGTTCACAGATTGACAGATTCATCAAATGATACTAACAGCCTTCTTTTGGCATTCAACCACACATACATGTCTTGAATTTCAGTTTCTGGACACCATCTAATTTTTGTGATAATTTATTTTGTCCTGATCAGTATTCCTCTTTCCACCCAAATTAGGGTCATTAAAAGCGAGCCTGTTTGCTCACCATTTCAGTAGCAGTGCTTTTAAGACCTAATTCATGAATGCCATATGTGACAGTAAAGCTTTTCATGCTAAAACATATGATCTAGCATACAGTATAACATGTGGAAGGTGCAGGATCTGGTTAAAAAAAGAACAAAATTAGCCTATCGCTCAACAACCCTTTTAGCAACTGTAGCTGATGCTCAAGCTTTCTTTTCATTTAAAATCCAAACAGTAGATTAAACACTAACATTTGTTTACATTTTAGAATTGATGGTTCTCTAAAGTCAGAAAGTTGTAGAATGAAGCACTTATTAGCCAGGGTCCATCGATTCTGATTACATTAATGACAACTGATGCGAGCCGATTTGGCTAAGGATTTTTTGGAAATGCTATTTCTGGCTACGGCTAACTTGTTTTAGTACAATAACCCCTGTAAAAAGGGGTTCTAATAATGTACTTGAAAGCTACACACCTCCTAATGATGCATGTATTGAAATAAAAAAGCAGCAATATAAGAGAAAATACCCTTATGACTTTCCTAAAGTTAGCCTACATTTAGCATCCAAGACTAGCTTCCACCCAGTGAGCAGATAGCAGATTTGGCGGCTTAGGGGATATGCTAGTTATAAACATGACATAACATAATTCTCCAAACTCCGTAAGCTGATTATTACTCTAACAACAACAGTTGCTAAGCCATGGTTGAACATTCACTGTTTGGGGTTTAGCAAAAAGCCATTTAAAAGCTTAATATCGTCTGGTAACACTTAAGTGGATAGCCTACTTGTTGCTGCAAATTATATGATACACAGACAAAAAGTTGTATAACCACCATAAAGGCTGACTCATAGCATCATATATACATCAGGGTATCTCTGTCTAGCTGTGAGCACTAAGACATTGTATGGAAGCCACATAATGACTCTGGTGTAGTGTACAGTATTAATTGGCTCACCTCTTGTTAGAATGACTACTGTAACAGAGCTGAGGGAAGTGAGCTGGATCATGAAACTTAACAAGACACTACTCTATAGTCACCTAAAAGTGGAACAATCCAGAGGTGTTTGAATGTCGACTAAGGCACTTTTGATTTTTGGACCGGAAATATCTATATAAAAAATAACAATATGTACTTGAGTGTTTTCGTGTGAGGGTTATCAAATTGTGCATGTTGTTGAGAAGGGTTTATTTTACTTGCAAATGTATTTGTATGTGTATTTTTATTGTTATATTTTGTTTTCAATGTGTTTCATGTTTAGTTTGGAATTTTTATTGATATTCAATGGGATTAGGGATATTCTAGCAGCTGAATGTGCAGTGGAAGATACTGGAAGTGTTACTGCTACATCCCTTCTGTAGCAATAGACTATTTGAACATAATTGCATTGCTAGGCAACAGCCTGGATCCATGACTACTACCTGTCAGATGAAGTCTCCAAATACCCTGCGACAGGAAATTAACTGGGATACATTTAGAATGTTATGTTTACAACTGTAAAATGTTTCAAAACCATCTTGTTTCTGTTGTCCTTTACCATTATTTTATATATTTGTTATGGTAGAAATGGACTATACAATCTGTAACTATAGTACATTCCATAATTATTGCTTCACCTTCAGTATTGTGTACACTCCACCAAAATAACAAAACTTTTAATGTTTTATTTTTCAATCAAATTCCAATTTGTCATCAGTAAAAAACATACATTGTCTCTTCTGTATAGTTACATGAAATTGACTAACAAAAATATAGATAGTCATGCTAAAAATATCCAAAATATAAGGACAAATGTGTTACATTACCATTCCTATCAACATGTTATAATACACCTAATTTTTGTTTAAAACACATTCTGTTCTGTAATAGCACCCACAACTATCATGTGACCCGCAATGGTGACCTTTGCTATCTATCTAGCTACTCTGAATGAATATGAACTCAGATGATGGACTATACTTTGGAAAAAAAAGGTTTCGTGTGACCTGCTGCAGCATTGGAATTATCTTGGCTGTAAATGATATTTTCTGCTTTGCACAAACAATGATTAAAGTGAAAACAACTCAACTGACAAACTGACTCATGAGTGTTATTTCTATACTCTATACTTCTATTTCTGCTATTTTAAACTGTAGTATGTGCTTATGTGTTTCATTGTTGGTGTAGCCTACTGCCTGAATAAACAATACGATAATACTTAAAAGGTCCCATGTCATGGCCATTTCTACTGACCATAATTCCATTGTTTTCTGTTCTCTGATTATATATAACATGTAATCCGTTATCCCCCTGCCTGGTTGTGGGTCAGCCTGTTGGACCACCTTCTCAATGCACACTTTGAAATGTAAAGCCACTCCTTCTTTGTCCTTGAACAGTGGCTCAAGTTACTGCAGTGATTAGGGGGAGTAGTGTATATACCAGAGCAAGCCAAAAGGAAAAAAAATGGAGTAATGAAATGGAAAACTCTTCAGAGTGATATATGGTTAGAGCTTTCTTCATCAGTGTCTTTACATCTCACATTCAGGCCAAAAAGAGTGTTCTGCAGCAGCCGCTCACAGGAGAAGTATCAGGTTACATCACAGTAAAATGAACAGTGTCTGTCAGGAACACGTCAGTTAGCATCCTTCTTGTCCCGCCCTCTTTTGTTTTACATACATTTCGCTCCCACCTTTTGACAGTAAGGCAGGGAGACAAGAGGTAAAAGAAGGGGAAAGTAGGGGGGAGTGAAGGTGTGTCTTTGGGATGAAAGGAATGCAAGGTCACAGAAGGAGTGGGGGTCACTGCCTTCTGCGGGGGCTGCAATCCTTCTCTGTGTGTCCTTCCCTTGGTTAGCAAAGAAACAAGAGTGTGTCATGGTCAGTGATTTGCCATGTCACTGGATCTACAAACAGTAATCCCATCCATGTTGTTTAGGCAAGCCTGGGAAATAACGGTATACATAATAAGGATACAAAAATATACGTTGTACAACTTTGAAGTGATTATGTAACACAGCAAAACATATTTAGGTTGTCTTCTCTCCGTCCTTGGTGTTATAAATTGTCTTTTGCAAGATACAGAAAAAATATAATGTAATCAGGTTTAGGTGTACTGGAATACATGTAACAGGTTTACATAATCAGCAGCGGAGCCGGCTCTAAACTCCGGAATCCGGTTCGTTTCAAGCACCAAACAATTGTCGGTCTAGAAGCAAGCACCGCATACGTCACGCTTACGTCGGAGGGGGGCGAGATTAACCTGAGCTAACAGTTAAAGGCGAGTACGGCAAATACAAGTTGTATCAAGCAGTAGTGCTGAGCAAAGTGACTAGAACGCAACCACACACTTCTAAAAAAAAAAAAAAAACACTTTATAAAGTCAGGCAACAATAACCAGGCTTAGTGTGATTCTGTTTATTTGTACCTTACTTTGGCCATCCCTTCGCCGTTTATTGATCATTGTGGAGAGCAGGCAGACGTTTTGTTTTGTATTATAGCAGCTATCGGATGGAATCAATACATGGGCTGCACAGGTTGTCATATCCGACTATCACAAGTAGAATCATAATGAAAAATACGCCGGTAAAATGTGCCCGGCTTATGGCACTATAGGATAGCAACAAGTAGTCAAGATAGTCAGTTTAGCTTCGGCTGCTATGCTAACATCACCCATTTTATACCAGAGAAACTTTAATAACAGCGTTGTGATGCCAACAGCGTCAATTCAGACTGACACACATTCACTTATGGGGAATTGGGGATATGTATCAGCTGCTTGTGTGACAGTCAGACAGTGAATACTTTACAGCGGACGCTGCCGTGTGAGCTAACCCGGAGCTAACGGGAGAATAAACCCCCGTGGAAGAGCAGCACTGCAGTGGTCGGCAAATGCCGCTGAAACACATTCATAAACAATGAACCACGGTACTCTGGAGAAAAGTATAAGGTTGGAGAAGTCGTTAATTTAAATCTGGCTTCGTATGATTAAAAGCAACACGACGCAATCCCCCATTGTTGTTGTTGTAGTGAGCGCCGTAAGCGACGTCAACGGTGACGTCATGAGCAGCACCAGTCAGGCTCTGGGCGGTGTGAACAAAACGGGGGCTGAAAATAAAAACCGGTTCCAAACCAACTCTAGCAAGGAGCTAGAGGGGGAATCGTGTTGGTGTGAAAGCCCTAAGAGAGGTGTTGGGTATGGGAGAGGAACGGGGATAAAAACGCTTTTAACCTGAAGATGTCTGTCGGTTCTGCCTGCGATACTGACGTCGCTGCTGCACCGAATCTGCTGTTGCCTCTTTGTCATTTTTATCCTCCTCTGAAATGTAGAGCATTGAGTGTCTCATCAGTGTCAGAGAACCAGTAAAAAAAACTGCCATGGCGCATTAAGATAATATAGAAAAATATGTATATGCCTGTGGCTTGAGTTTAGGGTTTTAAATGGCATAGTGCAATTTGACTAAAAACTACTATTGTCCTTCATGTCAAGTCATAGTTTTTGTTTCCTTTGTTTGTACTCTTAAGTGGGATCCCAATTATCAAAGCAGCTTAATAAATGTGATCACTGTAATGAGGTCCTTGGGCATTGATATACTTAACGTTCCCCATCGCTGTGTGACATTGTGCCCCTTACTGCTGAAAACCGGGGCAAGTGGACTGAGCCAAAAAAATGACTGAGGACTCCAGGCAGCAGTCATCACAAACGTTTTTGGCATGAGGCAAAAGGCCCATACAGTTCCTTAAACAGACATAATATAACGCTTACCTGAGTCAGAGCCTTCAGAAGGTCTGGGCTTGGCATTATCAGACGGAGAATCATTCCTTCCCCTTTGTTTTTGCTTTAACCCTTAAAAAAAAAAAAAAAAGACACCAAGAATTATACATGCAATTTCAATATCCATTCCTAAAGCCATGAACACTTCAAATGCACAATACTTATATGTGTCTCTCTGTGACCTCAGTACCAAAGGAATGTTATCAGCACAACATTTTAACTAATGAGGAAAATGTATAACTAAACAGAAATAGTCAGGGAACTGAAAGAGTCATGGGGTAGGCAGTATGAGACAAAGAGTTCATAATTATGTCGAGGTAAGAACCAACGGTTAAAGATCATACCAGACGGCCTGGCTGGTGACGCAGAGCCTCGGCCTCTTCTGGCCCGAGGAGATGGTGACCGCCTGTCCTTCCCGGCGGGGCTGATGGCTTTTTCAGGATGATGGACCCCCTTTCTGGGTGGGGAGTTGGATATTCTCTTCATTGCTTTTTTAGGAGAGCGAGAGTTGGAGGAGCTGCTGCCAGAAGATGAAGCAGAGCGTGAGCGCCTCCTGCAGGACACAGACATTAGCACATTCAAAATGTATTCTCAACTGAGGAAGGATGGTCCAACATCCTCTGTAAGGTCACTTGTAGTAACCAATATAATATAAAGTATATTTAATTAAATAATTAAGTATTTTGAAGGATGTGGCGCTGACCTGCGGACTGGGGACCGTCTATGTCTGTTTCTGTTGCCAGGGGGGCCACGCCTGGGGGGGCTCCTACGACGAGGAGACATCCTCCTCCTGGGACTTGGTCTTCTACGAGGAGAGTAGGATCTGCAGTGGGGTATAGAGGAAGATAAGCTTACAAAATGTTCTATGTTAAATAACTTTTGAAGAACCATAAAAATAAAAATGTGATATGAGTGTCGGGAATTACCTAGAGCGGGAGCGTCGCCTGCGGTTGCGGGAATGAGAACGAGAGCGGTGGTGAGGTCTGTCCCTCCTGCTGTCCTTCTCCCTGTCCCGGGACTTGGGCCTTTCCTCTTTCTTGAGAGGCTTCTCTGGCGAAGATTCTTTGACTTCAGTAACTGGGTCTGGTTTCACCACCTCCACAACTGTGTCACTACAAGTCAGAGAAAGATTTGTATGTTACCCTTAAGGTTATTTGTTATAACCTGTCATCAAGCTAAACTAAAATACGTATTGATGAATACAAATTTAGTTTTTGATCCAGTTCATTGCTACACTCCGCACCCCAAATGAACTCTGATGAAAATCGTTTAGGACTAAAATAAACTTGCAAAACAAGAACATCTATTAAAAAAATTCAAACTAAAGTGGATTTGAACCTAAAACTTAGAACAAAAAAGTTTTTACTTTAAATGCATGGCAATAATGGTACATTTAAGTTTTCTACACACCATGTGGAAGGAGTTTCTTGGATGGCCGGCTCTGGCAGGGCTCCTTCTAATGCATTCGGCTCCACAAGCTGCTCCACAGGTTTGGCTGGCAGCTGCATCAGGGGTGGAGGGGGGGAGCTGCTGGCGACTGGACTGGGTTTGCGTCTCGGCGAGCGAGAGGCACTCCGTTTCCTTTCACGCTTCACTGGCGACCTTCGCCGTGGTGACGGTGACCTTGATTTCCTCCTAGACATCGGACGATGCAAACTGAATACGTTTTTGGTGATAAATGCACTTGTATAACCACTGATCTCCATATTAAAAAACGTGTTTTTCTTACCTTCTTGGGCTTTTTGACTGAGCCCTGTCTCTGATGTCCTTTTCCTTCTTATCATCATCGACTTTCTTCAGAGTAGCTAGCTTCTCTTGTTCAATCTACCAAAAAAATGGAACCATGGGGAAACAATCATACATCTCTCCAAAAGTATATAAATAATGTCTATCCTGCAATGTTTATAACATAACTGACATCTGGGAACCAAATAATGTATTTAATGTTGTCTCAGACTATTGATTGAAATGATATATCAATACCAATTATTATACCATTCAACAAAAGTGTATAAAAAATTGCAATGGCTGTTTTTACCCATAACAAGTATTTTTGTATCTGTCAACCGCAGAGTTAAGGCCTGATAGCTAGAATTGTGCCTAATTGGCTTTGGGGGAAGCTTACCTGTCTCTGTTTAATTTCCTCCTTCTTCTGTTCCAGGAAAGCAGAGGGGATGCCAGCAATGTTCTCCTGAGCACTCAGCAGCAGGGGCCACAGGTCCCTCATGAACTCCCGGGCGTTCTTCCCATTCAGAAAGCCTGTCAGGTTGATCTGCATCATCTTGCTATCTGGATTCTGTAACACACACACGAAGGGAGGAGAGAAAAAAAACATATGGCTATTGAAATAATGGAAGGGCAACATAATCAAGGACGGGGGTAGGACCTACTAGTCCTCACTAGACTATTCCTGGGACTATGTTGTCACCATTACTGTATTACTCAAATCATGACTTTATAAATAAATGTGACTAATTTAAAATCATACTCACAAACTCATTGAACTGAGAATGTGAGCTAGCTGAGGGGGAGACATGTCTAATGATATAAAAACGGCATGCAATGTTGCTGTTATTCCAATTCCTGATTGTTATTCCCCAAATAAACAATCAATAATACAAGAAAACATTTTTGCCATTATTTGATTTCCTCAGAATTATCCCCTTTACTTTACCTTTCTGTGTCCCTACCCACCCCTTGCTCTCTGGTCTCCCCACAGTCTACACTTCAGGAGTTAAACAAATAGCCACAATACAGAGTGCATTAAAACCCAACACTGCAAGTACAGTTCCGGTGTCTTCAGTGAGTCCCGTGGGATCAGTGGGCACGGAGCTCCCATGGCTTGCTTCCGCCTCCCTACTGCTTGAGACTCAACCACCTTGAGCTTAATGTTATATCACTAAATTGCAAGAGACGAACAAGCAATAATGAGTACATTGTTACACAAAAAAGGAGTTTTATTTCAACAACTGATAGAATTATTCTGAGAGGCCGTAATTTCAATTCAATTTCCTTGTCTTATCATTACGCAACACCCCTTACACTTAGCTTTCCATCCCAACCCACCCCCCAAAAGCTATGACAAGCAAAAATACCAAATAGAAGGATATTAAAAAAAAGTGTGCAGTGATGGTGTCATATATAAATAAATGAATGCGTTTTTTAGCATCTTGTTAGAATAAAAAAAGTCACTAATGTGGGTTATTTGCATTTACACCAACATTTGCATTTAAGTATACTGTGGGACGAAATCCTAGGGATAGACTAATGAAGGACACTTTGTGTAAATTACTTGGGTTATTTCCCCCCAATTAACCTGTGAAATAACCAATTCCAGTAAGCATAAGTGGTTAATCAGTGGGCTCCACATTATGATTAAATAAAGAAAACTTTTGAAGTCTACTTAGTAGCAAAAGCCTATGAAATAAAGAAGAAGCAGAGTTTAGTATTACAAAATGAAATACCTAACATAAGTGGGGCTTAGCATTACAGCTCTACTGGCAAGAAATATTTTTTTAAGGTCAAAAACATGACCATTACAGATATCTCAATAGTCTTCCAGTTTAAAGAGTAACTTCATACCAAAAAAAAGAGTGTTGTTTCTTCTGGTTGAAAATCTGCGGTCTGTTACACATCTGATGACACACAACCCAGAAGATGGGTGCTATCCGAGGTTTAACACACTCAAATAAAAATGTTGTTTTTGTTGGCCTCCTGTCATTGAGGTTCTCCATCTCCTACATTGATGTAGCGATACACCTGTGGTGTGTTCACATCACTGTAAGGTGTGGTTACTAGTACACCAGAAAAAGTTTTGACCACCCCCAACAGATGTGAAACTTTGAATTAGAGGTAGTCAGTGAGACAATACTTTTTAGCTTGGTGTTAAAGTACTCAAGTTACTCTTTAAAGAATGTAAAGGAAATCATTTTCTCTATGTGGCAAACCCTCCCTGAATTTAACCTATATTTCCAATTACATTGGGCCATTGAATGATGCACTACAAATACCTACGCAATATGATTATGGCATTGTTCAGGTGTTTCTTTCACTAACATGATATTGGTAATCCCTGCATATAACTCACCTCAAACCACACACTGCATCATGAAGGGAGAGTTGGGCTCAGTGACTTTGGGCTCAGGAGAGAGCTAATTAGGTGTTGGTGCTATACTTCAGATGCAAGGTATAACATCCATATTGGTTCAGGCCTTTTAAATCATAAATCACATCATCATTAGAAGACTGCTGAATGAAGGCACTTTGTCACATAACATCAAAACATAGTTATGTCATTATAAATCAGTTTTACACCAATTGTAAACTTTACCCATTCAATTTCAAGTTGAACAAAATGTGCAATGGTTTGCTTGTATTCCTTCTAACTAACTAAACATTGCCCTCAAATTCATGACAGTTTTAAAGAAACAAAACAAACACATTTAAGACATTACCTTCTCCTCAAGCAGGTTAAATATTAACTCTATGACGACATCATCCTCGAATCCCAGAGTTTCTGTCACTCGCTGAGTTATCCAAGGTTTGATGACTTCCAGGTTCACTTTGGTCATGTCCACCTATGGGTGAAACAAGAAACCAACATCACACAGTAAGACAATCAGTGAATAAATGACTCAAGACTAGTGTTTATGTTTCAGTTGTATTTATCAAAATGTACAACAGATGTGTTACTCTAAATGTGCAAATCCATATAGTATGAGACGGTTTAATAGAAATGGTAACATGTCCATTGATGTGATTAGCATGACATTTGGACATCTCTAAACTATTTTTCTGTCCCGTCTGAAGTAACACATTGAAAGTGATGCCGATACCATTATAACAATTAAAAACAACATGGATGAAAGTAAGCTTGGACAGTATATTATTGCCTGAAAAAGACTGTGTTAAATGACTCAAGACTACAGTGTCTACATTTCAGTTTTTTCTATCAAAAATGTATCTCTTTAAATAACATTGACTGACAGAAACACATATAAAACCTAACAAGACAATACATTTGATTAAGGCAACAGTTTATTTGGTAATAAAATCTGACATTACCACATGTCAGATTTGGTAATGTGAATCTATTGTGTCAGATGTATAACAAGTGATGATGCTCTTATACCTTCTTGTCCAGACATTCTGCAAACTTCAGCTGCTTCAGCAGTTTCTTCTGCTTATTGCTGAAACGGTTGTCTTGCTCCGCACTTGTACCCTAAAGAAACATCAACAATCAGATTGGCTTGTGTACGTTGAAAATCGTTATCACATCTACACGCATGTGCTTAAAACATCTCGCTTTTAAAAAAAAAATCTAGTTTAATAGCAACTTCCGTGTTATTTTGTCAGCGTAAAAGCAAACACCTGCACTTAAACAAAACAGGGGTGCTGACATCCAAACCTAAATACCGAGTTTCAGTTAAGTTAGCACAGATTTGAAAACATGTGCTCACACATTACGTTATTATATTATCCTAACTATTAATAAATATAATGTATGTGATAACAGTACCATGTTAAATGTAAGCGATCAAACTGAGTCGGATATGACATTGATACGATGAAGCTAACACCAGCTAAGCTAATCGTTAGCTTGCTTAATCCTCCAAGGGAACCAAACATGCTAGTTAGCCACTGTCTGGGGGATATTTTGGCCAACAACAGCGTTAATATAGTCCGAACACCACAAGTCATATTAGTTTTGTAATGCAGGACATATGTACGTCTATTTATTATAGCCAACATAAATGGTCGTGACTATCCCTTAGAGACAGAAAGGATGTACCGCCCGGACGCCATCTTTAGCCAGAGCTAACACATTATCATTAACTAGCAAAGCTAGCAAGTGTGGTTCGACTATTTCCTGCAAATGTGTAAAACTGCATATTAATGTGTAAAATACAGTGTAGGCAAGACACAATTACATGCTACTTTAGTGTAACGCCAAATACACGCAAACCCTGGAACTAGCCCAGTTGTAACCCGACTGTTGACGAAACCCAACATGGTTCGTCATCAGGTGATAGACGTAGCCCTGACCATAACGTTACAGTCTGACTGTATGGCCCTCCGCCTATATACACAATACTACTGTTCTAAATAAGAAATATACTTCCATGCAACTCTGCAGTAAGACAAAAAAGGGTTAGAAATCATTTTCAAGAACTTACGCGGAAGAATCCCGCGTCCATTGTCGGAGAAAATGGATATTAGCAGGCGCAGTTGAGAAAGACGTGCGTGGCTCGGGTGAGATACTTAGAGGCCAGCCGGATGATGGTGCGCCTCTTCGGGAAGGAAGGAGCACTACATTTACTGAAATGACTGGAGAGCAGAGGGGTAAGCTACATCCTGAGCTTTTAAGTTAAAACTATGGGCTCAGAACATTCTCATAATACACACATGCACACAGAAGAATTCACACTTGTAATTTATGATCCGCAAAAGGATTCACACTTGTATTTCCGGATCCACACGTGTTTTTCAATGCACACACAAATGTGTTCCGTTTCATATACATGTAAATAAAATCCAAACACAGCAAAAAGTTTTACATATGTATTTTTGATCCACACATATTTGTTTTCCGTTTAAATCCCCTGAACCTGCAAACACAAACCGCTTTCTGTGCATGGATCGCTGTGCATTCGTGTGTGGGTTTTTTGAGACTCCCCTGACGGTCACCCGATTCGTACTTGTAATTTCTCTCATCTATAGCCAATCAGATGTCTCCTCCAGTCCAAGCCAATCACATGAGCGCGCCCCCACGAGGGTAGGATTTATTGCGTGCATGACGCTTCATATACGCATTTTGCGCAGTCCGGTCAGCTCGCTAAACAGAGGGCGGAGCTTCAGGTGATCATGCAGAGCTGCGTGTCTCCGTCAGACTCAGCAGCTGATCTGATCTCTCTCTCGCGTCCAGTTACACTTCACTCGCGTTTATGCCCATATCGATCAGATCCAGCTCTCCGGCCTTTATAGAGAGCACCGATCAAACTATTTAGAGTGAATATCGGCCGATAATGACCGGCGGGGCTCCCCCCCCGTTGACAGTTCACTGTCTAGCACTGGCTTCGTAGTGCACTGATCGATTAGGCTAAGCTAAC